GGAGTCCAGCACTCGCACGCACCGCCCACCGTGCAGCTGCGCCCACCCGGTAGGGCCATCGAAGAGAATCACTCACTCCCATTACCCACCGAGGAGCCAAGCTCTCCTCCGTCAACCACCGAGGGACAGAGTCCGCCAACACCGCGCGAGGAAGGACACTTCTCCACCTCGATCATCAGAGAGCAGCGCACAGCGATGCTTCCGAACGCAGCCGCGTCCCCCGCCAAACAACAGCCATCGAACACTGAAAACGCCCGAACGGAGACGTATAGCGAGAACGACACTGGGGACGAGTCGCTGACGCAGTTCAGCCCTGAAAGAAACAAAGCGGAGGCCCCCACTGTGCCCGTACAAGCGACCCCGTTCCCCGCCTCTCACCACACCCAGGCCCCGAAAGCGTCACAAGGCCCACTTTTTGGCTCCGATGACGACACTTTCGACTCCGCCAACACTAGTAGTGACAACGAGGAAACCCCGAAGCTACTCGCCATGACCCCAATGTCACGACTACCGTCAGCCACCTCTGACAGTGAATCTGACACTTCCACCCTTCCCGATCCGCGACCGAACACCCGCCTCCGAGCTCGGTCATCAAGGGAGCGGAAAAACATGGGCATCCGATCTCAACCCGTGACCAAGCGGGCTTTCGTTCCAGAAGAAAGCGCGTAGAAGGCTAAAGAGGAAGAAAGTTAGCTATGGCTAGGGACATGCTACTCCAGTGGAACGTAGGAGGGCTGCTAACGCACCTATCTGAATTTAAACAATATTTGCGGAAAGAATCCCCTCTCGTAGCAGCCATTCAAGAAACGCACTTTCGGGATTCTGATAACTACAATTATAATGTTTCTGGCTACACCCTTTATAGACACGACATAAATCATACTAATCGACAAGGAGGTGTGGCCCTATACATAGCTAACGCAGTTCCACAACGGCAAACAAACTTGACTACACCACTCAACATCGTAGCGGCTACTGTGTCACTTTTCAATCGCGACATCCTAATTGCTTCTCTCTACCTACCACCTAACTCTCCTCTAATCACACGACATGCTATGGACCAATTGCTAGCTCAAATGCCTGATAATTGTCTACTTCTTGGTGACTTTAACGCCCACAACCCTTTGTGGGGCAGCCGGCTTTTGTCGGCGCGCGGAAGGATAGTCGAGGCTGAGCTTAACCGGCGATCACTGGTGTGCCTGAACAGTGGCAGGCCCACATACCTTAGCCATAGTTACCACACAACATCAATGATTGATCTTTCTATCGCTTCTCCCCGCGTAGCACCACTCTTCAATTGGAATGTAACTTCAGATCCTCTCTTTTCCGATCATTTTCCTATCCACATAAGTCTTACGATTAGCAATACTTTACCTCGCGCGCCGACTTTGAAAAAGTGGCAAACAAATAACGCTAATTGGGACGCATTTAACACGAGTATAAGCCACAATACGTCTAATAGCATTCATCAAACTGTAGATAGCTTTATGAACGCAGTAGTACTTTCAGCCAAAGAGACTTTGCGAGAAAAGAATGTAACAACCGGTTCTTCAAATAGGCCAAAAAATGTAATATGGTGGAATTGGAAATGCCACCGAGCGAAAGCTATTAGAAAAAGAGCATTCCGAAACTTTCAAAAATGTATTTGCGATAGACATGCGGAACTATACACAGCTGCACGAAAGGAATGTTCTAAAGTAATCTACGCAGAAAAAAAGGCAGCGTGGGAAGAGTATGCATCCAAGTGTAACAGATTCACACCACTGGCCGAACTTTGGGGAAATGTGCGCTCTTTCGCTTCTCGAAAAAACCATCTCAGAGTCTTTCCACAGCTGCTCTCCAACGGTGTCTTCGTAACTGATCCACTCGCTGTTACCAACCTATTCGCAAAACATTTCGCCGACGTATCTTCCTCGAATATCTACTCTCCTAATGTTCACCGGTCTCTAACAGCAAAAACAGCGCGACTTGACTTTTCCTCTACAAACTCCGAATCCTATAACGCTCCTTTCACCCTCTATGAACTTAAACTATCCCTAGCAAAGACGAGAACTAAAACATCAGTTGGCCCAGATGGTGTTCCCTATTCCTTTTTTACCAATCTTAACGAATTAAACCTCTCTACACTCTTGACTGCTTTCAATGATATGTGGCTAAGCGACTCCTTTCCGGATGGCTGGCTTAGCAGTACAATTATTCCCATCCTCAAACCCGGTAAGGATAGTAGCCTAGCAGGTTCCTATCGTCCCATCGCCCTTACCAATTGTATTTGCAAAGTGTTTGAGAGAATGGTGAATACACGTCTCCGATTCTTCCTTGAGAGCAAGTGCATCATCGACAGCTGTCAAAGTGGTTTTCGCAGAGACCGAAGCACGGCGGATAACGTGCTGCGTCTTATTACTGACGTCCAAACAAATTGGGAGCGTCGTCTGCCGACCGTCGCGGTGTTCCTGGACCTCGTGGCGGCTTTCGACAAGGTACATACTTCCACCATTATTTACAAACTACACTCCCTCGGAATTAAAGGCCACCTGGCAGCTTTTCTACGCAACTTTCTCATGCCCAGAACTTTTCGAGTTCGATGTCAAACGACATATTCGGACAGCTTCCCGATGGAACACGGCGTACCCCAAGGTAGTGTGTTGTCGCCAACGCTTTTTCTGATCGCTCTAAACGATATCCTCCTGACGCTCCCGCGCGTACTGACTTTTTCAGTACGATATTCTTTGTTTGCTGATGATATTGCTCTATGGGTCACACACAAAAATTACAAGAGGGCGTACTTCATCCTCCAAGCAGCTATCGACCACTGCGTCAACTGGTGCATGGAATGGGGGTTCTTCCTATCTGCTCCCAAATCTGCCATGATCGTTTTCAAACGTGGACCACCCCCGTCCCTGAATGACTCGCCTCGAATTGAGGGAACAGCTATTCCGTTTCATGAGTCTCATAAATTTCTAGGAATCATACTAGACTCAAAACTGACCTTCAGGCTTCACGTTGATCACATAAGAACACGTTGCATCAAAAGACTTAACGTTCTAAGATGTATCAGTGGCTTTTCCTGGGGTGCTGACAGAAAAACTCTATCGATGTTGTATATTGGCCTCATTAGATCAACTATTGAATACAACTGCTATCTATTTAACACAATCTCGCCCACATTGTGCAAAAGGCTGGAAGCCGTTCAGTCTACGTGCCTGAGGCTGATAACCGGGGCTTTTCGTACCACCCCCGTCCTCGCCCTACGAGCAGAATCCGCCCTACCTGCACTTAAAGACCGACGCCTCTACTTACTAATGCGTTACTACTATCGTGCGAAAAGCGTTCAAAACCACTTATCTATACCCGCAATAGAGCGAAGAAAGCCTCGAACGCGGCGACCGCTACGAGGATCCTGCTTTCTCCCTGATTCTCTTGAGGAAGCGCACACATCTTTCAACATGTGCCGGTTTGACGTTGCTCGCAAACCCCCTCCTACGCCCTTCTGGACCCGTAGAAACCCAACAATAGAATTTCTTTTCGACGACTGCAAAGAGTATATATCACCATTAGAGAGTGTTATGCTTCTTCGAAGCTACATGGAACAAAACGACGATTCAGCCTTTTTCTACAGCGATGGCTCGTGCACAGAGAATAAGGCTGGTTCTGCAGCCGTGGGACAAGGATTCGAATTCAAAGCTCGCCTCCCTGATTACAGCACCATCTTTACTGCAGAGGTATATGCGATAAGAAAAGTCCTCGCATACATCAAAGCGGAAAATATCGAACGTGCTACGATATGCACTGACTCTAAATCGACACTTCAGGCCCTCAAACGGAAAGAAAACGTTACCCATCACGGCATCCATAATATCCACGAAATACTTCTGGAACTGACGGCAGCACAGCATGTTACTTTCCTATGGATACCCAGCCATCACGGCATTGCTGGTAATGAACGAGCGGACGCCCTTGCGAAGGAAGCTACACTGCTCCCTGAGTCGGTAATAGAACCTATGGCGCATGGAGACGTACTGCACATAGTCAAAATTAAGTTTGCGGAGTATTTGCAACGAAAATGGAATCAAACTCACGCGCCACATATCTACGCGATCAAACCAAGGCTCGGAATTTGGCACACTTGCAATCAGCCGAACAGGATAAGAGAAGTTATCCTAACTAGGCTGAGATGCGGTCACACCCGCCTCACCCACAGTCACCTTTTTGACAGAGCAGGCCCGCCTGTATGTCAAAATTGTAACATACGGCTGACCGTCGAACATCTACTAATCGGATGCCAATCATTCCGAAACGAACGCCGGCACATCACAAGGTACCTCGCTTTACATCGTCTAAATTTTGACATGCCGACCATTCTTGGTGATAACCCCACACTAACAGACTTGGTACTCGACTTCATAATAAACTCTAAACTAGTAGAAGAACTCTAGCGCGATGACGACTTAAAGGCTTTTGCAGACCCGCACCTCCCCCTGAGCCTGGAACAGCGGCCGGACTCAGAGACGGGAGTATGTCGTTGATACTGTGCCCGAAAACTCCAAAAGATCCTTGACCCCAGGCCCTGAGCTCAACGATCGGGAGCGATGTGGCCGGGTCGGGGATCGCAAACAGACACGACACAGTTGCCTGAAAAGGCGACCGGAGTCCACCTCGCCCCCCACACACGCCTTCGAGCTGCGAAGCGGCGCTGCAACGTTCCTGGCCTCCTCAGCTGCTTTAGCATCTCTAACTTCGGGATGAGGACAACCAGCAGGTAAACCCTAACGTAAATAATAGGGTTTTCCCCACGCACATGTAATCCGAAGCATCCCCCCCCCCCAATCAGCAGAGTTATTTTGCAATTGGCCCCTCTTTACCTTTTGAAAAGTTACATGTGCGTGGGTTTCCCTATTTTGCTATTAATAAAGTGGCCACCGGTTTCACTTCATGAGCCGGGTATAGGGGTCACCTCCTCGCGAGGCGAAAAACGAAAGTTGAGGCCACTAAATAAAAAAAAAAAAATCTCAGTGCCCAGTGTGTTTTGTACAGTTTCTTGGTACAGTTTTGTAACGGTTACGCATAGGAGGGAAGGCTTTGATACAAATTTTATATTTCATTTGCGTGGATTCTACCCTGCCTATGAATGGTAAGGTTAAACGCTAAATAGCAGCTATAGTTCGTTTTTTTTTTTTCAAAAGGACGCTGGCTCCAAGTTCCTTATCGAAGCTCTCACGTGAGTTTTGGCAGCTTCAGCGTCTGGCCAAGAATTTCTTACCGAAAAAATATTCGATTTCAAATTGTGCACGGTAAGTACCTAGAAATTGTGTCTTGAAAAATTAGTATACTATGATGACGTCACTGGTCGCAGCGGGCAATCAATGTCCGTACGATGGGACAAGGTTTCGACGAATTTGGGAAAAACTTCGTTTTTCACTGTTGCCGAGGTTATAATCGAGGAAGCGGTTTCGTCCATGATAGTTATACGCTTCATTGCAAAAAAGTTTGACAGCATGACGTCACCACTGTTCTCATATCTGGCTCCAAAAGGCACGGATGGAAATTATCGGGAATAATTCACATGTTAAAATAGGGCGACGTTCGAGTTTCTCAAGTTCAGTTTTTGCTAGTTTTGCTCGCTTAAACGCGTGCTTTTTCGAAAAACATACTTGGAGCCAGAGTCCTTTTGAAAAAATACGAACTATAGTGTAATGATGTAAATAATAAACCAATTAATACAAATCAAATATATTCAAAATACACAAAGCTTTCGGCTTAAACAGCCTTGATCACTGTGAGTTGTGGCAATGTATAATCGGTACGGTATATATTATTATATTTATATATTAATCGGTACCGATTATACATTGCCACAACTCACAGTGATCAAGGCTGTTTAAGCCGAAAGCTTTGTGTATTTTGAATATATTTGATTTGTATTAATTGGTTTATTATTTACATCATTATCCAATCTGTCATGGATACTCAACGAACTATAGTGCTTTTGATTTTTTTTAAACAGCTTATGCAGCTGCTTGTGCCAATTAAAGGGACTATCCCACCTTCTAAAATGTTGTTAAAACCAGTTAAATTGCGCCCGACTTTATAGATTGGATGACCAGGAACACGGTTCTGGCATTTATTTTTCATTAAACATCTTAGGCTTCCCATATTCCAAACACAAACTTTCAAATATGTGACGTTTGAGCCCAAAATTACCTCCTTCCCCAGGCCACATTACTGTCATAAAGCTGATTCTTTTTACTCTGTAGGCACCACAACAAAGGTTCAGACCAAGTTTTAAGCGATTTTTCAACGAACAAACCCATTTAAATCAGAATGACTAAACGAGGTGATGTCACACTAACGGTCGCTCCATGTTGAAGATTGGGCCTTGTACAAGGCCCATTTTCAAATGAAGGGAACGAATTTCTTCAACACCAAGAGGCCGCGGGGGTTGCAACCTAGATAGATAGAGGTTTCTGGACCTCGCCGCAAACTTGGCTATCTCAACTCAAACCCCATGTTAAAGGTGGGATAGTCCCTTTAATCCTGCTTCAGCTTACTACAATGTTTCAGTTTGAGTTTAGAAATGGAAATTAGGTATATCAGTCCAGAAATTGCCATTAACTGCCAGCTAGGTACCTACTTACCTAATTACCCATACCTACTTGATTAGGCAGCTTATTATGCATATTTACTCTATTTTTTGCATTTACATTGTGCTGGTGGTTAAATTCACTTCTATTTTTCTTTTACCTACAGATGGCAGTGACGAAGCGTCATCCAGGCCGAGTGTGTGTGGTGGTACTGGGAGATGTGGGGCGCAGTCCGCGCATGTGCTACCACGCCCAGTCCCTGGCCTCCCGCGGACACCCCGTGGACGTGGTGGGCTACATGCGCAAGGACGCTGAGAAATTGGCCGTGGCTCGCTCGGCCACTCTGTACCCGCTGTGGCAGGTGCCAGGATGGATATCAGGTGGGTTGAAGGGCTGGGCTATGATAACCATAAGCTTCTATTACATCATTCTTGGGTGCTGCTTCTTGTGTAAGAACAACCAATTTTTGTTCATTTTGGATAGGCACCTACATAGGGATACAAAATCTTGAGAAGCACAAGAGCTTTTTTATTTTGTTTACTGCTTACCTTAACAAGATCAACCTAATGATTTAAATGATTAAAATTGAAATGATTTAAAATGTTTTACCCTTGGTGTGTCAGATAAATGTTAACCTGCTAATTGCAATGACTTTCCAGTTGTAGTCATTTTTGTACATCTATCTTAACTTGCATTTGTTGTGTCCTGCTGATTAAATATTTTTAGCAGAAACACTAAACCAATATATTTTAATTATAAGCCCATAAGACTTAGGAAAGTTCTAAAAGAATGCTAATAATAGGAAAGTTCTAAAAGAATGCTGATAATCATACATCTTTGGTTCAGCATATTGAGTGTCTTCAATACCTACCCCACAGGTCTCCCTCTTTGAACTCAGCTGATGACTGCCTGCTCCTCCAACCTCTTGTTACCCCACAGGCTGCCCAGGACTGCTGGCCTACCTGCTGAAGGCCTTGTGGCAGGCAGTGGTGCTGTTCATCATCCTGATGACGCTGCCACACTTCTCCAGTCTGCTGATGCAGAATCCCCCAGGAGTGCCCGCTATGCCGGTCAGTGCTATGAATATGATGCACACTAATCATACACTAATCATGGCACTCTAATCATACCCCTAATAAGGCATAATTGTAGCCAAGAGTCTGAAATGGGTACTGCTCTAAGGCTTGTTATTTTTAAGGAGTGTCTTGTGTGTTTTCATAACTGCTTGATGAAGCCATGGTCCAAAGCTGTTGAAGCCATATTCCAAATTTGTTGGTTGGCACAAGTGAGAAAAGGTCTAAATTCAGCTGGACACCAAATGATGATGCGCTGAGCTGAACTGCAAGCCCACAATTCTGGAATGTTTCTGCCTAGATAAAATCTAACATATCCCTGACGAACACTCAGTTTTATCACACAGGTCTAGTTGATCTCGTCGAACGTCGATGACGCTCGATGACCGGTGCCGATGACGTTCGATACCTGCAGTTGACGATGACGACTAGTGACGGTGACGTCCAGTGACGCTCCCCCTGTTCTGCCGTGCCAGGTGTGCTGGCTGGCCTGTCGTCTGCGCCGAGCCCGCCTGGTCGTCGACTGGCACAACTACTCCTACACCATCATGGCGCTGAGTGTGGGGAGACAGAGCCCCCTCGTTAAAATCACCAGGTACGTGGCCATATAACCAGGTGAGGCCGTGCGCCCAAATTCAACAAGAACAAGAAGAACAGACTTCTGTCCATCAGTGATAGTTGTCTCACAGAACGGGGATATATGAGCAGAGTATTTGGAACACAATACCCAGAGAATAGGAAACTATATTCAAAATAGTTATGTATTTGCTCAATCTATCCTCGCTAAAGTTTGACGCTACAAGAACAATGCAATTACAACAACAACCACAACAAAAAGCAGTGCTCCCGGCTCATTTATTGTCAATATGTTATGTTACATGTGACATTGATCAAAGTTGTGACTTGTGATGCGAAGGCTGCAGGCCTACACATGGACATCACAGCTGTGTATGTCGCATTTCTATGATACAACTTGTTGATAGTGTGTGGCACATTTTGATAGCGTGTTACCAGGAAAAGCTCTGTTGTGGTCAGGTTAATCATCACCGCTGATATTAAACATCAGAAAGTCATGCTTGGTTTGAGTTCGTCACAGGTGATTTTGCTGTTTTGGTATAAGACCGTAGCTTTCTTTGTATTGTGGTCTATCTCATGTGCTTATCAGTTTGATCTGATTGTGGAGATACTCCGACTGAGCCATTCGTTGTTGCTCGGAAGCGGCTTGTGTGATACCAGGTGTAGATACGGGCTTCAAACCTCATTATCTGCGTCAATAAAACACGATACGGCGAAAGATGCAATGTTATGCGCAACCACGATGCGCAACGGCAGCCGGCGCTTTTGAAAGTCATGCTAACGATGGATTCAAACGTTCATATTCACTCTGACCTTGCAAAGACAAATAAGCGTTCGTACTCATACTGCGTTCGTGCTCGTACTCAGTACTGTCTGTTAGTCTGAGCGATTTGCGGCTACTTGCTCCAACATTCTCGGTTAAATTAATCCCCAACAATGTTCATTGAATGCCATTTCACAAAAGGCCATGTTCCTGTCTGGCTATCACAATCAGCCTGAGTCTATTGTGTATCCAAACACGAACTTTGCTGACTCCGATGTTATCGCGTGCCTGACTCAGTGACGGCGATTTCAGGTGGCTGGAAGGCGTGTTTGGTCGCCGAGCTGATGCCAATCTCTGCGTGACTCGAGCCATGCAGCAGGACCTGGCCAAAAACTGGGGAGTCGTGTGAGTACTGAGTGTAGCAAATGAGAGGCTAGGTCAGGTCATGTAAAAAACTAAGGTCAGTCTGAAACATTACACCGATAACAGAAGATGTCGACATGAATCTCTCCTTGTCTTCAAAACAATAGTCGCGACATAGGCACGCGCACCATTGTCTCTTCATATCATCCCTCGCTACCCAATTTCCTCATTAATGCTCTTCTTCTTTGTGAAAGACATTTGGTATGAAGCATGAAACCTTTGTCCGATCACTTGTATATCACGCACCAAACATGACATAACCAGCCGTGGGATTGGCGAGTTTTGTTTACGTATCCTTGCCCGGCAGAAGGCCTTGTGGGTGTTTCTGTTTACGTTATCCGTTTTTGTGTGGCTCGGTTAGCTGTCTAAAGGCCGCCCCACACTGGACCTCGCATGCCGGTTGCGATTTTTTGGGTTTTCGGATTTCTTCAAAATTAAATAATACAATCTAAGCTGAGTGACCCACACTACCATCTAACAAGCGAGTCTGCATGTTTTTAGCTTGCGAGCCACCTTGCATCGCATTCCAAATGTTGATTTTGAGTCAACTTTCGATTTTCCTCGCTGCGAGGTCTGCGAGGTCTGCGAGGTTTGCGGGTTTTTCGTTGAAGTCGAATTTTGATTCGTTAATCGTTGCGCTGGTATTGCGACTATATGTAATTTTCTGAAGGTGTACCGGCTTCACTGCATTCACGAAGTTACCATAAGGGAACGGTCTAATCACTCTATGAATTAGCATTATGCCCGCAAACTTAAAACCCGCAAACTCGCAACCCGCATGCGAGGTCCAGATTGTCCGCTTGTTTGCCAAGTCTCCTATGTGTTTTCATTCCTGTCTACGTGCTAAAGCTGACCTCTGCTCTGGCCACAGAATATATCCTCTCACCCTAGTACCTACCGTGTGTTATCACTACCTAACCCTCTTGACTCCATTGCTCGACCACGTGCCCCAGTACCTGACCTCTGACCCCATGATGACCCCCCTCCCCCCCCCCCGACAGCGCGGAGCCGCTTCACGACCGTCCGGCGGCGCGGTTTCACCCGATCCCACCTGAGGAGACCCACGAGCTGTTTGTCAGACTGGGGAAGATCTACCAGGCGTTCAGCACCACCGTACCGGACAGGACCGCATTCACAGAACGGTATGCAGGGTGCAGGATGTAGTGGAATGGGTGTTTTTTTTTTTGTTGGGGGGGGGGGGGGATTAAAGGGAAAAGTGGGGCAAGGGGGTGTACGCACTTCACGAGGGGAACAAGACTGATGAGCAGAAGTCCAGCTGGTGCCAACTGCCATTGTTAGCTGGTGTTCAATTGCATTTCAGTATCAGCTGACACGTCTTCTCAAATAATGACGCTATTATGAAGACAAAATATTTGCTTTTATGGGGGGGGGGGGGGGGAGCAAGCTCTTTTGGCCTGAGAAGAGTTTTTTATATTCATCCTACACCTGCTCTTGCATCTGCTGTTCTTATTACATTTTCCGAGTGAAGTTACGCCCACCCACTCGACACACTCGCTGCCCCGAGTCCCCACACTACTGCCCCCTATCGACTCCCTCTCCCGATCCCACAGTCACGCTGACGGTTCAGTGGCGCTGTTCGACGACCGGCCGGGCCTGCTGGTGTCGGGAACCAGCTGGACCGAGGATGAGGACTTCTCCGTACTCCTGCACGCCCTGCAAGGTGAGAGGTGTGAGGAATTGGTTCGGAAAGGGAAGAGGAATATCACTGGGTATGTTTGTGCAGTGGGTGGGTGTTGACTTTTATAGTACGATGAAATGAATGAGAATGAGATAGTAGGGGAATTGAGAAGGCATTTCCCCCTCCGCTCGCTAAAAGCTTATCCGCTTGTTAAAAGATGGGTAGAATGAAAACTTTCGGAAGATGAATGATAAGAATTGTCCAGAAGGATCGGACATGAAAACAGGTCACTCCGTCGCATGGACTTACTCACAGGGTAGATTGACGGTAAATAACGACCTAGACAGCTGATAATTGCTCGTGCGTCTTTACAGTACGCATATTGGTCGGGAACGCCTCTGCCTCCGCTCCTGGTCTGACCCCTCCCCCCCCCCCCCCCAGAGTACGAGTCTGCCAGGGAGGAGGGCGGTCACGACCTGCCCCGGCTGGTGTGCGTCATCACGGGCCGCGGGCCGCTCAAAGAGTTCTACTGTCAGCTGATGGAGCGCAAACACTGGAATCACGTGGAGGTGCTCACGCCGTGGCTGGAGGAGGACGACTACCCGCGGCTACTCGGTGAGAGGGGTGGGAGGAGGGGAGAGAGTAGGGGAGGAGGACGACTATCCGCGGCTACTCGGTGAGAGGGGTGGGAGGAGGGGAGAGAGTAGGGGAGGAGGACGACTATCCGCGGCTACTCGGTGAGAGGGGTGGGAGGAGGGGAGAGAGTAGGGGAGGAGGACGACTACCCGCGGCTACTCGGTGAGAGGGGTGGGAGGAGGGGAGAGAGTAGGGGAGTAGGAGGACTACCCGCGGCTGCTTGGTGAGAGGGGTGGGAGGCGGGGAGAGTAGGGGAGGAGGGGTGTAGGATGGAGGGTGGTGGGTGTTTGTATGTAGGTGTAGTGATGAAAGATGTCGGCGAAGAAACTACTGAAATATAGGCTGTTACGATATTCAGAGCAAGGGTTTTGTATTACTTTGCTTCGATGACTTCATTATATGTATTGAATCATATGGTATGGACATTGGACAGGTGCATTGCTAAGGGAAAGCAATAACGGTTCTGTACTTCGTCGCGATATTGTTAGTGTTGAGCGTAAAACTTGTGCACTAAAATCACAAGCCATCATCATCACACATCAATTCTATCCCCCCTCGTGTCCCCACAGGCAACTTAAGCCTGACAGTCACTCTCCTCGCCCACAGTAGGTTACAGTTGTTGAGCGCGCCCTCTCCCGTCTCCACAGCGAGCGCGGACCTGGACGTCAGCCCTCACACCCCCTCCATCGGTGTGGACCTGCTAACTGTACCCCCTCCTGTCTCCACAGCGAGCGCGGACCTGGGCGTCAGCCTGCACACGTCCTCCAGTGGTGTGGACCTGCTAACTGTAAACCCTCCCGTCTCCACAGCCAGCGCGGACCTGGACGTCAGCCTGCACACGTCCTCCATCGGTGTGGACCTGCTAACTGTACCCCCTCCCGTCTCCACAGCCAGCGCGGACCTGGGCGTCAGCCTGCACACGTCCTCCATCGGTGTGGACCTGCTAACTGTACCCCCTCCCGTCCCCACAGCCAGCGCGGACCTGGGCGTCAGCCTGCACACCTCCTCCAGCGGCCTGGACCTGCCGATGAAGGTGGTGGACATGTTCGGCGCCGGACTGCCCGTCTGCGCCTTCGACTTCAAATGGTGAGTCCCAGCTCCATCCCACACAAACATATCATCCCCTCTCTGACTGCCCGTCTGCGCCTTCGACTTCAAATGGTGAGTCGCGGAGCCCTGTCTATAATTCCTTACACTACCGTTCTTAGTTCTTAGTCTGCGCCTTCGACTTCAAATGGTGAGTCTATGTCTATCGCTACACTACTGACTGTCCATTCCGTATACTAACGTATCAGCCCGTCCCGGACTGCCCGTCTGCGCCTTCGACTTCAAATGGTGAGTCGCGGAACCCTGTCTATAATTCCTTGCCAGTCTACCACCATCCTGCCTATGTGCGTCAGATGACCCTCCCGGACTGCCCGTGTGCGCCATCTGCTTCAGATGGCGGGTCAATTTACCGGTCTCTGGCACATATCCATCACTCTTACTTCCACCCTGTATGTACTGTCTTGACCTGGCCGTCTGCGCCTTCGACTTCAAATGGTGGGTCGCTAAACCCTGTCCCTTCCTTTAGGTACCGTCCCGTTCCCCTCCGAGCCTGCCCTTGTGTGATTCGGGTTCAAATGGCTAGACGACGATGTACCCTTGTCTGTCGTCTATGCTGTCTTCCTCTCTCATTTCCATCGCCGATATTTTACTCGGCCTGCGTTGTGCATTGCTGCTCTACCCCATCCCATATTCAATTCCACCATGTTTTGTCGTTTGAATATAGGCTGGTACTGCGTCATTCATGGCTGAAGGCGTATCACAAAGACTATCAAAACAATCACTGTTGCGACAGGTTGTATTCTTCCTCCTTAGCTTATCCAAACCCGGAGGCACATTCGTATTTCCACGCACTTTCGCTGTCGCAAGGTAATACAGCCGATGGCGGTCACTGCGGGGGCGGAGGGTAGTGTGGTTTCGAGGATGGGCGACTGTCGGAATATAGGAGCGTGATGATATTGAACGAACGTGGGAACTGAATGGTAAGAACATTGGTTGTGATTGTTTTTATTTTCCTGCCTGCATGTGTTTCTTGTGTTTTTCTTCTCTGTGTACCTTGCCAGAAATAATATATCCCTCGGTCAAAAGTTAATATATTCTGCCACTAACATAAAACATCTACTGCTGGTATGTTCTGCTGGAAAATATCAGTTGTTCGTACCCACTTACTTACAGATCGACCCCTGACCGGTTATTATGTCTTTTCGCCGTAACACACATCGTGTGTTCATGATGTGAACAGAAATATTGCGATAAGTGTCCGATACTCACCCTTACCGTCATACTCCGGCCGTCACTGTCTGGGCGTCACACCTCGTTACGCAGTGCGTCACGCGTGCCGTTACGGAGCGTCACAGAGCAGCGTCACAGATAGGCGTCACGGGCCTGAGTCACTACCCTGTGCCACCCCCCTCCCCCTCCTCCCCTCGCCTCGCTTGAGTTCTTTCGTCTATAAATCATCAACCCAAAAGCAATGGACTATTGCCAAGAAAGGGAGAGCTAGCGTTGATGGCCCGGAGGGAGGGAGAGAGGGGGAGCCGATGACGCCTTCATTTTCGGTCTGTGGTTACTCGGTTACGAACGACTACCGTCGTGCGGAGAGTGATTGAAAACGAAAGCCGACAGAAAGCGACGTGCGGTCAGGGGGTGTGTTTTGTTCTGTGGGCGGCACACTGTAGCGTCATTGCGGTAAACAATACGCTGTGTGGGCGCCAGGGGAGGGAGGGGACTCATTGGGAATGGGTTTCCGGCGTATAAGGCAGTAGGATGGTGATCTGGCTTGATTATTTAGTTGAAGAAAGGCTCGCGATGAATCATGCTTGTGCGTTTCTTTATGGTGTTGTATTGCTTCATTTCTCTTTACTTATCGATGTTCTAACATGAAGCTGATCGATGCCTTATTTATCCGACTTCAAGTACCTAACGGTATGGATATGGAAAATGACTAGTCCCCTGGCGTTACATCTTTACATAAAGTTCCATTAGTGTGTGCTGTCCGGACCTCACCCAACCCAGATTCAGATTCAGATTCAGATATGTATTCATCGAGGGTCCACAGCAAAAAGTGGCTTTTCACCTGACACGTAAAGCAGATAAAACCGATAAAACATAGGGTAAGTAGACATGGTATGGCATCATCATAGCACACACAAATCACGCACACGACATTCACACCAATATCACCTCAGTGACGTCTGGTAAGAATCGCGTTTTTTGCCTCTCGACGGAACGATGGCAAACACGGATCCAAGTTCATGTCGTTGAACATCGAGACCCCCCTGATACACAGTCGGCGCCTCCCCGTCTCGGTTCGGGGTCGTGGTTGTGTCAATCTGCCGGCGTGCCTTGTGTTGTGGTCATGTAGGTCGCGGGCTAATGGACCGATGGTTTGACTGATATATTCAGGAGTTCTCGTGGTGATAGCTCGCTGGACTGCGCAGATAGTGTGGTACTCGGCTAACTCATCAGCTCGCAGCCAGCCGAACCGCTCGATGACATCGGAGATGTGGTCACTGCGTCTGCGACCGCTGACGACCCGCGCACAAAAGTTGATGATTTTCTGTACGCGAGTCATCTGTGTCACACCACACGTCCCGTACACACTCATGCAGTACCGCACAATGGAAAGAACCAGGGCCTGCACTACAAACCTCAGTGTGCTGGATGGCATCACGTGGCGTGCGTGGGCGAGGGCGATGAGTATACCGGTGCATTTTGAAGTCATGGCGTCAATGTGTGCCTGGTAATTCAGATGACGGTCGAGTTGAATTCCTAAGTTTTTCACAGTTCCGGCATCGCCCACCACAGAGCCGCAGAAGTTAACGGTGACAGTTGGGAGGCCCCTTAACATAGCTGGGGTGCCCAAAACTAACATCTGCGTTTTGGCAGTGTTTACTTTCATTCCGTTGTGACAAAACCACTGGTAAGCGTTATCGAGGGCAGTCTCCATGAGTGAGATGATAGTAGCCAGATCCCGTTTCTTACCGGTGACCAAAATTTGCGTGTCATCTGCAAATTGAACAATGGTGACGCCATCGGGCAAATGTAGGCTCAGGTCATTGGCGAACAGCATGAATAACACACAACTAAGGCTCCCGCCTTGAAAAACTCCGATTTTGTTTTCTCTGGGTCGGGACGTTATGCTGGAACCGTCAGCACCTCGTACGGTAACCTGCTGCACGTGACCCGTCAAATAGTTGTTAAACCATTCCGTGTCTATCCCGTACAGGCTAAGTTTATCTAGGAGTTTTTGGTGAGGCACGACATCAAAACATTTTGAAAGATCTAGAAGAACCAAAATGGAAATTTCGGCATTGTCCATAGCATGTAGGATGCGGTCAGTGATGACGCTGAGAGCTGTCTCGGTTGAGTGTAGTTTTCTGTACCCATGCTGTGCTGCAGTAAGTAAGTCATGGGCGTGCAAATACTCAGTCAACTGAGTTTGTACGATACGCTCGACTACTTTCATTATGCCTGGTAAAATGGAAATAGGGCGCGTATCGGCTGGACCGTTGGCTGTTTTACCTTTCCGTTTTACCTGGACCGTTGGCTGTTTTACCAGCCACCCTATTTCACGTTCCTCCTTTGATAATGACGTCATTCTTCTCCCCCTTATCCACTTTAGACCCACATTTACCGTATTGTGACGTTATTATGACATCATTTCAGCCTATCGGAACTGGTCGAGCACGGCGAGAACGGGTTCGTCTTCAACTCCGCCTCCCAACTCGCCGAGCAGCTGATCGCCTGGTTCCGAGGTTTTCCGCACAGCCAACAGATGGCAGCACTGCGGCGCCGCTTCAGACAGCGTATTGGCGAGTTCCGAAGTCAGGGTTGGGAGGCTAACTGGGAGAGACACGCGCGTCACCTGTTTGATGATGTGTGACGTCAGATCGGGGGACGGTGATGTGAAGGGGTGATATCAGGGGACAAGAGGGATATCCGGCAGGGGCCAGCGGGGGTTTCTGACTGACGTGGTCGCTGTTCAGTGTGCCGTTGCTGCTCAGGTGAAATCCTTTCTATGGTTAGGTACGATGTCGGGGTTAATTCCTCTGATAGGTTTGAAATGCATGGGCTTACCAGTGATGTTTCTTCATGGGTCAGATTGTCCATTGACATTAAATCACTTATGATGTCACGGTCAATGTAGTTATGACGTGTTATCATAGCCGGAGCATGATGGTCCAACTCTAAACCCATCGCCCATCTAACTCGTCGCCCTCAAAATCCCCAGACTTGGTCACACTCTTATCCAAGCCCACACACATCAAACCATCCAAAAACTCCTCGTTTTCTCTCCCCACACTTCAAACAGCTCACAATACCTGTTTACCTACCGGACGTTTGACCACACACCTCAAAAATCGTAACCGACAACCAGCCTGCGGCGGCTGCCCGTGTGGAGACAACCCATACAAAACCTACGCCATTGTCGAGCTGGGTGGCGTTTTTCCGTAGTTTTTCGGTCGATTGTTGTGGTGTGCGCGTTGACGCTCGTTTGTGAAGCGATGGGAGACACCTCAATGGGCACGTGATGTGTTTTCTGTCTTCTGTACGTGACTGCTCAAGTTTCCAGTTGAGCTGTGCATGTCTGATCAGTCTTCAGTCCGGGGTGTGGTGGATCAGTCTTCAGTCAATGTGTGTTACTGATTATGAATAAGTCACGGGCTTGTTGCTGTTCGGTCGGGCGAGTTGGAGAAGGGAGAGCGAATTTTCCAATCTTCAGTCACAGGCTGTGCAGATAGATGCAGTTTTTTTTTTGGGGGGGGGGGGTTCGGTATAAATTTAGCAGAGGGTTTTGTCCAAAGGAACAGCTATGTTCGTCCCTACGTCATTTGGATTATGAATGGTGTTCAGCGTTTGAAGAGCAGGATTGTAGCTGGAGTAGAGGTAGGGTGCTAGAATTGGGGTGGGTTGTTAGGACTGTAAGGTGCGATGGCAGTTTCGAGTATAGGACAGGGATGTGAGTCATGTAGAAGGAGCCAGTCAAGTGAGAAATATGGTTGCGGGCGGGAGTGGTAGGCACTCGTCGGTTGTATTGTTCGACAGGGCAAAGTGGCCATTCCTGATTACTCTTCCCGGACACTGTGTTGTGCCATTTACGCACGCAAGGATAGAGCAGACAATTATTGTGACAGCACTAACGCAGAACTACAAACTGTATACGAAATAGAATGCACTGATGGGACCTACGGCGAATAGGTATAGAATATTTAGAAGGTATGTGATATGTTGTTCGTTATTCAATGAACATTACCGGAGGGGCGATAAACGTCAGAAATGATAGCGGCCATTGCACAAGCACGTATTAACAAGCCAACGGTGCCTTCAATCCGTGTGTTACACAGTCTCTTCCCAGTGTAAATTATGCCAGTCTTCTGCAGTGTTCGTACGATTATAAAGATTGTGGGTGCTGCATCCCTATATGTTTTTTTTTTTTGATACGGTGACCCACGTTTGCTTGTGTGGTATAATTCTAGGAATATACAGCCCAGAAGTACATATTGCCGTATCGTTTCCGTTTTATTCCATAGTCATTCCGGATGTTGGGGATCCTCGTGTCCCGTGGCCCAGGACTGCCGCGTTCATTGTCCAGTCTGCCGACCCGAGTGTGGTGGGATCTTGCCGTCTGTGACCTCCATTGGGTGGGATTTGCGTGTACCGTGAGCACTGTGATACAGAAATACACTTATTGTTAACCCGTATTTGCGGTGTCCAGTGGGATTGGGTTTGGGTGTCAGTGTATTTTATGCTTAGATTGACGAGAATGAAATAGGAATTGAACTCTGTGATGTCCCACTCGGCAACGAATGTTGGAAGTGGCTACGCAGATGAAAGGCGGTCAAATAACACATGTTTCGCTTTCTGTGCTTTCGAGTTGAAGTCATCGCTTAATCGTCTCTGAGTACCCAACACATAACCGTTTGTATAATGTTTGTATTGCTGCATACCTCGACACATCAAACACTGCGTAACGGCGTAACATTACGTAACAACGTAACATCATAACGACGTAACACCCCTGCATAACATCGCAGTAACGAACGAAATCGCACATCACTGCAAAACGGTACACAAAACGGCTACGAACGGGTAGCTTGAGCGAAAAGGACGGCGGTTCGGTCGCCTTAGCAACGAGCGCTTGCGCACAACTCCGCTGCGCATGCGCACTCCACGCCCCTGAGAATGCTGGCGTGGAGTCGCAAGTAACAGGTAACAATGAAAATATATAGCTATACACATCATTCGAGGCGCAATACAACACTTGATAGCCTTACAACACACTCTGGCGTACTCGCTTTAGGCCGGATAGCGGTGTCTTGGCAGAGGTTCAATAAATATGCCTGGAAGATTGTGGTGTAGGAAGGTTTCGAAAGGTCTTCGATGATTTTCAGCTGAACTAGGATGGTGCAAAAATGAGTGGGTTTGGAATGAAGTAGATTTTTGTCTGTGCATGGACCGGTTGTGTTTGTTGGGTCTGGGCTGGGGGGACAGGAAGAGATTTTGTATGCTGATAACCGTATGTTTTTTAGATGCTGGACTAAAAAGCTGACCCCCACCCCCCGTTTTGCTAAATCAATAGCCAAGCGTTTATTCGGTCTGCTGTAGCCGGGCCGGGGCGGATATCCACCGTGTTCGCCTGAACCACCCCCGTCCCCCCCCCGCCAGACGCTACCCAATCAAAAACAATCAAGATTTGTAGAGCGTGACATCTGCCCTACCTACCTCCCCCTCCCTAACCCAACTTTCCTCAATCCTATCAACTTTCAGCGGAGGTCACGCGTTATGACTATTATGCCAGGTGACCGAATCGGTGACAATTGGGCGACACTGGCACGCGTGGGTGAAGGACGCGCGGGTACTGTATTGTCACCGAATCGTGAGTCAGCTGTTGATTTAGTCATTCCGCTCAAGACTGAATCGAGTCAGGGTGGTAAGGCGAAGCTTGGGTCGAGTCAAAGGCCGAATGAGAGTCGTTTTCAAAGTGAAGAGCGAATATTGAATCCAACTTATACTTGAATCTCGAACTGAGACCGAAAAGATTCTGTTCTTACGGATAGCAACAAGCTACGCATCAGTCCTCGGGTTCCCTCTAAGCCCCCCCCCCCCCCATCCCACCCTTACACCCCTTTAGCCAACCCCAAATCCACCCCCAGCCCAGCCCCAGCCAAGTGCCTCGTCCCGTGGGCCGACCGGACAGCCGGAGTCGGAGACGGACAGGGCCGTGGGCGCTACTCTGAGCGATCGGCAGGAGAAAGCTGCCGTCGTTTCGCCGCATCGACTCCCGACGCGGCCTCCCAGCCGCCAGGGAGAGGAGGTCCGTGCGAAACGGGTGCGCCAATCGGCGAGCGGCTGGGGTTTGCGAGAGGGGGTGTTTTTTAGGGTGAAGGATGTGGAATTAAGAATGGGGCCTTGTGAGATGAATTTGAATTTTGAAGTGAGGAACAGGCTTTACAATAAGTGAGTAAAAAGATCGAAACCCAAATTAAAAATTTTTAACCCTTTTTTTTCTCTCTTTACCACCCCCACGTCACTCACAGCCCAGCTCACGTGACTTTACAGCCGTCGCGGCGGTGGCGTCACGTGACCGTCCGGTGCCGGATCTATAACCCAGTTTAGGTGATTGGGCTTCCAGTGGTGGTGGTCACGCGTGCCAGAGGCCGCGCCCCGGGCGCCGGCACTGCTCAGAGAGAGAGAGAGAGAGAGAGAGAGAGAGAGAGAGAGAGAGAGAGAGAGAGAGAGAGAGAGAGAGGGAGAGAGAGAGAGAGAGAGAGAGAGAGAGAGAGAGAGAGAGAGAGAGAGAGAGAGAGAGAGAGAGAGAGAGAGAGAGAGAGAGAGAGAGAGAGAGAGAGAGAGAGAGAGAGAGAGAGAGAGGGAGGGAGGGAGAGAGAGAGAGAGGGAGGGAGGAGTAGGCAGAGCGAGCGCTGACGGGGTGATATCTGACCTGAGATGACCTTACGGGACGGGTTATCGATGCGGATTCAGAAGATTGGGCAAGTAGCATTCACGCACTTAGCTGTGTTTCGCTCGAGTTTGGAATTGTTTCATAGGGTTGGTCCCGTTTCGGACCCTGAATGCTCTACATATTGCCTATCGTAGCGGAGAAGGGAGAGCTTATTGACGAGAACAAGTGCCCTAAGTTGGGTTGCTGAGGGAATTGTTCGTGGCGTGAATGAGGAACTGTCCTGCATCCGGTGATTTCTGCCTCCAACACCGCCATTCCGACCCAACGCTATCGCCTCTGACATTCTCGCCATGACGTCATAATGTGACGTCACTCCTGCTGACCGCCGGCGGTTCTTCTCGGATCCTGTAACCCGCCCGCGGGTCCGGACTCGAACACACACTACTGCTTACACAGCAGGGAGCGCCGAACACAGAACACACTCCAACTCTGAGCTCTAATGCTGTCACATCCATACCGACTGGCGCTCTGTTCGCTAACACTGTCCGCACACTGCACTTCGCACGCAGCTCGCACCACTAGCGCCGCCTGCCGGTGACCCGCTCAACTAGCTAAGGTCGCGGGCACGCCGGGAGCTGACCGCTTTGACCGGACCCTGTTGCGGAGCTCCCGGCGCGGTGCGGCGCTCGCTGCGCACCGTGACACTTGCGGCGCGTCTGTCTATGCTCACTGAACACCTTGCCACACTTAGGAGGTGGCCTGGTCACTGCGCGCGCAGCGACGAACACTGGGCTCATTAAAACGTCAGCAAGTCGCATGGAAGCAATAGCACTGCTTCGATTTTATCTGCTCACTCGCTTAAGTGTTTGAGTTCGAGTTCACCGTGGCTCACGGTCACTCGCTCACTGAGTTCGCTAACTCACTATCGCCTCTCACCGTTGCACTGCGATCGCTCACTGGTCTCTCACCATACGAGAGTTCTTAGTGCGCGAGCGCACGTGCTCATCTCACCGGAACCTGCCGTCCGCCCAGTCTCTGAGGAACGCGAGGTTCTCTTCTCCTATCGCTTCCTGTACCCAGCAGATCTCCTCTTGGAATGTCGTCTCGAAGGCCACTGTATCGAAGTCTGGCATAGCGCGACCGGCGTCCCTCGCTCGCACCACGCTCGAGCCGAAGTTGATGAGGTAGGTGGCGAGCTTCAGGCCAGAGCCGATGATCCTGCCGAGGTAGTAGGGTCGGTTGAAGTCGTCCGTGTCACTCTTGTCTATGTAGCCGTAGCTTTGAGGTCGCGGCGGCAGCGGCCGGCCGTTGAGGGAGTTGGTGAATATGGTGACAAGGCTGTTGAGGCCGCCTCCCTCCACAGCCTGGCCGAAGATATCTGACTTCTCCAGTGCGGGCCCCACAGTGTTGATGACGTTCATGATAACCGGGGTAGCTTGTCCAAGCACCGGCATCACGGACTGGATGGCTCCCATGTAGTTGCCCTCCTGCACTGCGCCCATGGCATCACCCAGCGCGGACATCATTGAGGGTCCGTCGCTCTTCACCAGCTGCACCACGCTGCCGAAGAGCTGCTGCAGGTTCACCTTTGGCGGCGGCTCGGGATCGGTCTGCTCCGTGTTGTAGTAGAACGGCACATTCGGCGGGTTCGGTCTACGGAACGGACGCCTCGGGCCGTCAATCTTGTCGACAGGATGCGGACGATTGTAGAAGGGGTATGGATGCGGAGAGGTTCCCTGGTGATGGGTATTGTAGTAGTAGGGAGAGGAGTTGGGGTACGGAGGCGGGGTAGGGTATACCGTGGTGGGATACCTCGGCGAGGTGGCCAGGACGGTCGTCGGATGGCGCCCGACCAGGTGAGGGTGATGGGGACGAGGTGGATGTTCGGTAGTGGTTGTGGTGGTGGGAGGAGGCGGTCGGGTGATCTGCGCGACAGGGCGTGACTCGCTGACCACCTGGCCCGTCGTGGTTGGCCTAGTGGCTGTCGCCAGCGGGCTGCCGCCGAAGATCTGGTTCAGCACTTGGAAGCCGGCGTCGATTTTATCCAAAGGTCTGCGAACAGTCGTAGGACTCTGGGTAGTCGTCGTTGTTGTTGTCGTTGTAGTCGTCGATGTAGGCTTTTTCGTCGGTCTCGGTCTTCGTGGACGAGACAGGATGCCGAACAGGCTGGAGAGGAACCCTCCAGGTCGTCGAGTGGTCGTCGACCCGCCGGCTTCCGTCGTCGCCTGCTCAGTCGTCGTGGTCGTCTGTGTGGTCGTCTTCTCAGTCGTGGTCGTGGTCGTTGTCGGAGCCCTTGTAGTGCGTCTCAAGAACGCGGCGAAGGAGCTCGTCGGTGCATTACTACTGCTGTCCAGATGTGCCGAAGGTGGCCCAGAGATGTTGTCAGGACTGTCGTCGATGGTCGGAGGAGCCAGCAGCGCTCCGAGCAGCGACGAGAAGTCGGGTCGCTTCTGTCCGGGCGCCGGTCGACGCAGGATCTGCTGCAGAAGACTCGTGGTTGGCGACTGTGAGTATGACGAAGGCCGAGGTGCCGCTTCCTTCTCGAAGGAGCTCTTGGTTGTCGCCTTCTCAGTTGTAGTCGTGGTGGTGGTCCGAGTCGTCGGCGCCTTCGTGGTGGTGGTCGTAGTGGTTGTGGTGGTGGTCGTCGTAGTTGAAGTTCTCTGCCGGGCTAGCTCGTGGTAGAAGCTCTCTCCAAGCAGCAGCGGCTGTTTCTCGGGCCTCTCCACCGTCGTTGTGCGCGGGGAAGTCACCCAGAACGCATAGGGCGCGGGAGTCGGCGCCGCCACATAGTCGTCGTCCTCATCCTCGTAGTCATAGTCGCTGTACTGGGTCGGGTAGTAGACTCTGCGCTGCGTTTGACTGACACCTCCTGGTGACCAAACGGAGGCGTCTCGGTGTGTCGATACGGGTCGCCAGTTGTTACTTGTGTCCACGTGTCGGTTCCATTGGAGCACGCTGGCGGAGCGCGCCTGTGCGGAGGTGCAGGGGAGCAGGACGGCGAGCGTGACAGCCAGGATGACCCAGCGCTCTCGGGACCTGCGGAAGAAAGAAGAAATGACCGTCAGAATGGGTTACGCCGTTCGGGGCAAGTTGGACATGTTGGGGAACGGGAGGCGGTTCAGCAATAGGACGGGATACGTGAAATCGGGGTTCGTAATTAACATTCCTGAGCGGGTCTTTTATGAAGTCGATAAAGACCAATACTAAGCCTTTGACACAGAATGGCAGCGTCACCTAGCACCTGGTCACAGAAGGATTGTGTTTGTTTGAAGTATTTGATGTTTTGTGTTGGAAGCATATACATATAGGACATTGGTTCGCACAATTACGTCCATAACGATGCCGACGGCACACATCTGGAGTCAATCAAACAACATCTGGCCCGTCTCAGATTGATGTAATTGGTTTACGCTCGGGTGGTGCTCCGATTTGAATAATTGAAGCGCAAACACTAAACACGAACATAAGGCGAGCATTGCTCATTATCCATTTTCCTAAATACTCTCAAATAGCCCATGGCGAAACACTTTGATTTCGATGAGGGCTGAACGATGTCTGATTTTCTGATGTCTGTCTGATTTCGACTGATTGTCAGCTGTCTCCAGCTGACGACAGACGTTCGGTCGTCACTGGACGGTAGGTAGGTGGGACCGGGCCGGTTTCCCTCGCCGGCGTCATGACAGCGTCCCACGTCGGGGGCCATCGGCGGCACTCGATGAAAGAGAAACCGACAAGTTTCGGCCCTCGCGCAGAGCGTCTGTCCGGCCCGAATGAAAGCGAACCGCGCGTTCCGGCCGCTCCCCAGCCCGACGGCCGTCTGTGGCGCAAGACGAGCCTCGGGCGCCGGCGCGCGCGCCCGCCGGGATTCCGTTCGACCAGCCCCGCCTGTGCCGGACGCGCGGGGGTCAGGAACGCTGGCGGAATGCAGCTGGAATCTCCTGGGCGGGGCACTGCTGAGGTGTTCGAGGTGCCGTGAAAAGCGCCGGCCAAGTGGAACGATGATTTGCAGAGGGAATGTGCAGTGGAGGGATGCGGTCATTGGGTTTTTATTGGACGGAGGGAATGCAGCTTTTACGGAGGGATTATGCTAGGTTTATTCTATTGTTTTCGTGCAACGAGGCTCATCTCCTAAGCATTCCATGGATGTTAAGTCGGTTATGGAACTGTGAATGTCGGCCGCAGCTTACTGCAGGCGCTGTTTGGACTTAACCCTCGCCCGCACATGGGGGGGGGGGTGGTTGCCACCCCCCCCCCCCCAGGTAGTCTTTCTGCTCTGCACTCAACATTTTTAGAGCTAGAAGGCTGATTTTTCGTATAGCTGCTCCTCTATCCTTTCTTGATGTCCACTGAAAATTTCAAGTTTCTGTGATTTTTGGTTTCGGAGATATGACCTTGTTTTTCAGGTCATGTCATGACCCAAATGGCCAATTCTCAACATCTTGCGTTTGCCATGGGCCTTATGAGCTTTTGACACCCTGATTTCGGCCTTTTTTGCCAGTCTTACCTCCTACCTATCATGGAACATGTTGTTTGACGATGTACAGGGGTCAAGGTCAGGGTCAAGGTCAACCTAGGTCACCTAAGATAATTGCGTTTTAGGCAAGCTGAATTTACTTTTTTTTTGAAGTTTTTTGACTGCATTTTTGGTAAAAGCTTCTCAGAGCATGATTTCATGTAATATGGACCCAAAAACAATCGGTGCACACATCAGTATACACACAGACACACACAGACATACAAACACATATAATTGACCTTGACCTAACTTGACCTGAAATGACCTCAGCAGCAAAATTCTGGTCGGGTAGTGTGACAAAGAGGTTCTAGCTGGCTTGGCACCAGAAAACAGCATCGTCATCGGTATTTGATAAGCAGCACACTTGATATCCAACGGTGACCCAAAACAGCAACATTTTTTAGTTTGACCTGACCTGGAAGGTCAATGACTGACCTGAGAAGGTAAAACTGGGTATCATTGGATTTGTCTCTTCCCAAAGAATCTTTTTGGTCTTTACTGCTAAGCTCTATCTCCAACAGGAACGAAATGGCGCGGGGGGGGGGGTGGCAACCACCCCCCCCCCATGTGCGTTCTAGGATGGGAAAATGGCATGTGCGGGCGAGGGTTAATTATCACAAATAAGGCACAAGAAAACGCCCTATCCCATTATAATTCAGACACGAGTGTGCTCTCACATTCATTCACTCACATTGTTTTGTGGAAACGTCAGCTTAAGCTTTCGGGCATGCGGGGCATGCCTTCTGCAGTCATGGATTGCATATTGTCTCATCAGAATCTGAGGAATCCGCCGTCTCCATTCATACTTTGATGACTGACGATGAGGTAACCCACGTGACCAGCTGTACCGTGGTTCCACCTTGTGTCTGGCGAGTGGATGGGTTAGAAACGGCGACGATATTGTAAATGCTAATGTCGGCGCCCGGAGAAACTTCTCTCTGGCGAGTTTCCGGACAGGGACGGCCGACAGGAACACGAGACGGCCTCTGACGGGAACGATTAGTTGATTTCGTCATTTTAAACCTGTCTCGGGCCCCAACTGTCCATTACGGATTGTCACCGGTGAGTGACCGTGAGACATATGAGGCAGGGAGAGGAGAAACTGTGAGGCAGCTGTTTTACTCGCCGGAAGTGTGACCACATTTTGATAGGGAAGGAGTCTCATTTCCTTTGGAATACATATAGGCTGATTTATAATTGTTGATTCTTCCTTTGCATGTCATTCGAACGCTTAGTTTTAGTGAGTCCTGACAATCCCGCCATTCATGTTTTTCTGGTGAAACTTATGCAAATAACTGCATAAAATATAATGCATACGTGATTCAAAATATCACATATAGTTACATAGAGACACAAATATTGATCAGGAACTTTACTTGGCATCCCTAATTGCCAATGCAGCGAGCTACTAGATAAATTCTCCCCAACCTGACTGTCCCATCACTGATGTCAACTTTCGACCCATCTGCTTCCCGCTCAGCCCTGCCAAAGATCTGCGCTCGACTCAGCCGGAGAGAAAACTCAGCTCCAGTCTCCCCATTCATTCACCCGCTCGACCATTGCCAACCGCCGCTGCAGTCGCGTCCATTGAAGTCTCACGCCCGAGCGACCGGGAACCCATTAAGAAATACCCCAGTCTCGTTTCGTTTTCACACTGCTATTCAGGCGTCTCTAATGTTCGCGTCATTCAGAGATCGGGTGCTCTGAGAACTAATGCACGTGCACGGCTAGCTGCACGGTAGCTGTGCACGAATGGTAGCTTCTGCGCGGTGCGCGGTGCGGTCGAAACGCGAGTCATTTTGGTCACAAGTGCCACCCCCAAAGCCGGCCGACGTCTGTGCAAACATCGTGCGGCGATTGAGTGGCCCCGCCGGTAGTACAGCGGCACGAAATGTTGACACTTGGGCTCAGGATGAGTGGCTGTCTCCTCGTCTCCTCTGAATGGTCAAACAGGCGCACAGAATATGACGGCTATTTAGGTTGTGGGAGTTGTTACGCGTAGCAGAACGCATAGAATGAATGAATGAGTGGAGGGAAGTCGATTATGAAAGCAGATACCTAGAGCACCGTCCACGCACGGGTTTGAAAACATGCTGGCTTTCAATTCACATAATTGCTTACACGAGCCGTTATCACTGATGCAGGTACCCATACGTTCAGTTAGCACCTGCAATTATCTCCGTTTTCCCGTACGACACAACCCGATCGTCCCATCGCACTTCTGTCGCGGCGCCGCGGCGCTCCAGTTTTCTTTTCACACAGTTTGTCTTTACCCCTCAGTTGCCGGCGAATCGTCTCGGTCAGTCTCCGCCTCAAAGATACAAAATGGAACCACTACCGCGCCGCAAAGTTATCATCTGACACCCCGTAGTCACCAATAACATCTACCTACATCGTCTTTATCGATCTTGATTGGCCTGGCGGGGGTCGTAACAAGCTCACAGGTGCGTGCGGCGTGTCGGCACGCACACTCGACCCACGCACAATATTCAAACCACATGCTCGAGAGGCGGGTAGACAGAGTGCGTGAGGAAGAGTCGTTCATCTAACGGGGACGCGCGCCTGGCGCCAGAGAATCTTACGATGTGGGTTTAGGTCGGAGGTAATCTGTGCGCGGTGCAGATAATGGTTCGAGTGTCTCTGGACGTCTCGCACGCGTAATTGGAGATGCATTCGTGCGCGTAGCGGAAAAGTGGCGGCTGTGAACCGTGGAAGAGCGGCTAATATAGACCGCACGCACAGCTATTAGACGTGCAGACATTTGCGAGTGATTGATAAAAATGGCAAATGATGTGCTAAATGAGAACACAATTAGCTCTTGTGTAATTAGTAATTACGTTTAATGTCATTGACGAAACTACGGGCTTTTTAAAGTCAAATTGCTGAAGCTTTTTGTTAAAAGACGGACAGGTACAAAAAACGGACCTGCAGTCGAATGTTCAACATGTTAGTTGATAGCCAGCAACACAACATGAAAACGAGAACTGATGGAACAACAATGCATCCGCGATATTTGACTTTCAATCCCCCTGAGATTAGCAGTCTTTGTGTCAAACCCAACCACTCAAGAACGTCTCGAGCAGCTGACTGTTGTCCGTACATCCCTCTCAGGACAGCTGAGAGCTCTACTCTGGACGGGTAGCCGAGCAGCCGCAGCCGCTGGCACCAGTGTAGGAGAAAGTGTTTGGCCGGCGCTCTCCCTGCTCGCCCCTCTCTCTCTCTCTCTCTCTCTCTCTCTCTCTCTCTCTCTCTCTCTCTCTCTCTCTCTCTCTCTCTCTCTCTCTCTCTCTCTCTCTCTCTCTCGCAGATTGTCCGCGGAGGAATGCGCTGCTCTTGTTAGGTACTGGTCAGCACACTGAGCCACATGAGCGAGACGGTGAAGCAAGTCTTATGTCAGCTAGCCAGAGGTCGAGACAGTTCGCAAAAAGACGGCGTACACATTGAACCGATACATATTACTTTGCAATCTTTTGATACATATTACTTTGCAATTTACAGCCATCATATTTGCTAATTTGAA